ATCCCACTGTTAAGTTAATGTAAGTTGAAAACTCATTTTCGACTTATGAGTTCACCTTGAGCAAGGATTTCATTATCAACTTAACTGGATAAAATGTAGATCATAATCTCTTATTATCTAAGAGTGATATATAATTAGTGATATTTCCATACCTTCACAAACAATTGTGTAGCTCATATAGAAGCCACTATTTAATTGAAGTCTGTTGGTGGGAGAAAAAAGAACAATAATCTGCAACAAAACATTCAATTTAGTCTGAAATATAAAAAATCTCGCACACATATGTTCAGAGTAAGCCGACAATACAGAAGGAAATCAATGATACATCAAGCCCCTGTTTGAATCAATACAAAAGGAAATTTTAATTTTCATTCTTCTACTCATTTTCAACCACACATTTTTCAAAAAAATAATATTTTTCATCATATCAATAACTTTTCCTTCTTTTTCAATCATACATTCTCCATCAATCTACTATTTCAAAATATATTCTTCCAAAATAATGTGGCTCAAACAAGTGTTGCGATTTCAGTTACTTTCCCAAGAGACAAAAGAAAAATAAAAAAATTGGGAGATTCAACACGCAAACACAATAATGGAAATGATAAATCAATTCAAAAGAAAACAATCTTCACACTCGCTCACACATGGTCGCTACCAATACATCCACTAAGCTAAAGAGTATAGTGGAAACAATGTTTAAAAATAAATTTTAAAAGACTCTCTATTTTAACTTTTTAAAATAGAGAGAAGAGTTTTATACACAATGATTGCATTAAAAAAGTCAAAAATTTTAAGATTCTACTTCTTAAATTATTCAAACTACATTTATTTACAACTTCTTTGAGTCCCAATTTTTTTTTAAAAGAAAATGCATTTTGAAATAATATTTTGATAGAGAATGTGTAGTTAAAAAAATAAAGAAAAATTTTAAATTTGTGTGTAATATTATTTTATTGAAAAACTATTAGAAACTAAACTTTTGACATTGTGCCACGTATTGACATATGATTGGACACTTTTTAAAAAGAGAACACTTGTTCAACGCTTTTTGAATTCTCACACAATATCAAAAAAGATGTACACCATGGAGTGTACACTTCACATAATTCTTCCCCAAAATACAATAATGTAGTAGGATTTTGAAGTTTTATGCATTTATTTTAGCTACATGGTTGGATGTGAAGAGATCCAAATGAACATTAGCATGAAAAAACGTGGTCATCACACATCAATTATGGATGCGACACCCCCATTGAATTTAAAATTTTATTTGGATTTTATTAGGTAGTTATTTCATTATTATTCTTGTTTTTGCTATCTTTTCAATAAAAAATCGACACTTTACTACAATTTTGAAATATCAAAATTTTAAGGGTATCAATTCCTCAACTACCTTCAAAATTTTTACACATCAAAAATTTATTGGAGGACAGCAAAAATAGGACAACAAATGTGGTCGTGTTGATTAGTAGTAATGGTACATATCAATCTAGTCATTTTCAATTCATTGCATTAGTTTGGAATAACCAATAGCAAGATGCCACAATATACAACAAGTGACAAATAACAAATTTCAAATAGTCCCATTAATTATCTCCCTTGCTCAAATCTTGACATTTATTTGGATCGATTTGGAATAATTAATAGCAAGATGTCCAGATTAAATTACAAGGGACAACATGTATTTTGTTATTAATTATACTAAGTAGATATAATCAAATGTAAAGAATTTAATAGTAAAAGGCAACTAAAATGCGAAAATAATATATCTCAACTCCTTATTTACCAATTAACTTGCGAGGCGAGGCGAGGCGAGGGATCCGTTTGACATGACTTTTAAAAAATGAGTTTTTGAGATTCAAAAGCTACTTTTGAACTCATTTGATTAATTTAATTGAAATTCTTTTTTTAGAGGAGTGTATTTAATTGAGGCTTTTGAAGACTTTGATGGATTTTTTTAAAGTGATGACTTATGTGAATTTCGTAAAGTTTCTAGAGATTTGTATGGAATTAGTGGAAGTTTTTTGTAGAGTTTTTTAAAGTTTCATTTTAAAACTTTTAAGACTTGTCAAATTCAAAAAAATTCTTGATA